CAGCACGCCTCTTGTCTTTACTAAAGATAAAACCTGATCACACTGTCGTCCCCGCACGTCCCTGGTTCCAAGTCATAACACGGCATTTGGCCTTCCAGCTCAGCGGAAACCCTTTTTCCGTGCCACCCTGTCTGGGGGGGGGGTCACGGGGTAACCAATTTGTCTCTTTTCCTTGCAGGGAAGATTGACCTGGTGAAGTCGAAGTGGGGCCTGGCACTGGCCGCCGTGGTGACTGTCCTGAGCTCCCTGCTGATGTCGGTGGGTTTGTGCACGCTCTTCGGACTGACGCCGACCCTCAATGGCGGGTACGCGTTTCATCTTTATATATGTGATGGATTGTTGTGTGTTTATCGGGGCCGCGCTGGTCTGTGCTGAGACACCCTCTGTGGTATGAACTTGCCTTCTCTTTCCTGCAGGGAGATTTTCCCTTACCTGGTTGTGGTGATCGGTCTGGAGAACGTTCTGGTGCTGACCAAGTCGGTCGTGTCCACTCCGGTGGACCTGGAGGTGAAGCTGCGGATCGCGCAAGGTGAATGATTGAGGCCTGCACGAGTCTCCCCGTAGAGCCTGACCCTTGACCCTCATCTAGAGCAGTGGGTCAGGACCCAAAAGTGGGTCGCAACCCACAGTTGAGGGGGTCCCCACGTGCCTTGTGCTGCTCTAGGAAGAGGCTCCTCAGCCTCCTCCTAGCATGGCAGTGTCAGTACTCCTAGATGGCGCTGCAGCGGCCTGAGAGGATCAGAGAGAGGGGAGCAGGCAGGAGTGAGGGGTGGTGAATGCTTGATCACCACAGAGCCCGCACTGGGCACCACCAGAGAGCCGGCATAGCCTCCTGAGAGCCCACACAGATACCAGTATTGGTGCATTCCTAAATTTTACGGTTGGGGGTTCACCACAACTTGGCAAATGTTACCGAGGGGTCCCGGCCCTAGAAAGGTTGAGAACCACTGACCTAGAGCCTCTGTACACGCCACACTCCTTGAATCCCATCATCTCTGACCTAACAGTGAGCCGAGCCGAGTGACAGAGTCTTTCAAAGGGAACCTGCTGCCATTTCCTTATAAAAGTGTTCCCTGTCACTCACGCTGGCCCAGTGGCCACCCGAGTCACTGACCCATAAGAAGAATACAAATCAAGAACTGTGGTCTGGTTCCAGGTCTGTAACTCGGTACGGGAGACCTCCAGCAAACTGGCATCATAAAAACGAGGCCAGCAGTAGAATCCTACAAAGTCCTCAATCTCTTTTTTCTGTAGCCCCGGCGCTCAATGAAGAGGAAGCTCTCGGTACAGAGACTTCCTGTCCATTCGCAATCTGGAGATGGTAAACATTTACCATCAACCCAGTCATGAATGGACAGGAAGTCTCTGTACTGAGCTGCTTCCTGTGAGCAGATAGTAAATATTTACTATGTCCCCATTCATAAATGAACAGGAAGTGACGTATAGCACTTCCTGCTCATTCATAACTGGACATATAGTAAGATGATTATGTCCTCAGTTATTTACAAACAGCGAGAGGTCAGTACCGCTGAGTGTTTGTGCTCCGCTCTCCGTCCTGACTGTGCCGCCTGTCACAGGAGCCGACCTCCCCTCCCCGCGCCACTCAGCCTCCTGACAGCTGTCTCAGCCCCGCTGGATACCAACAGCTGGATCAGCTCTGTGTCCCCCTTGCCGACAGGCAGGGAAGAGTAACGGGGATCGGAGGGGCACAGACCGATGCTTAGGGATTTTCGGCCATTTTCGTACTATCTCCATTTTGCCCATAGTACCATTTTCGGCCTCCCTAGTACATAATGTGTAAAGAGGCCTAATGAAAGGAAGGTTCTTGGAGGAGATTACCCTAATGGCGCCCAGACAGGAGGGAATGAGCTCTCAGAATGACATTTTGTAGTGACCCCCTTCTGTGGGAGAGACCTCCGGAGGTGCACATGACAACCCCCCCAGACCGCCTGTCATGGCGGAATGTTGTCTGTTGTCATATTGGGGATTTCTGTCTTGTTATAAGAGACGCTCAGCATGAGTACAGGACCGGCTTTCCCTGTGTGCGTTCAGAATAAGATCTGCAGCTCAGTTCCACCTTTCCCGCACAACCTTTCCCACACAATGTGTCCTCTACATAGCGAGTACCCGACATGTTGAAGGACTTTTGTTGGGAGTCCATGACTGATTTGTCACTCATCTCTCCTGTGTGTGGCACAGGTGTATAAAGATTGAGCTCCTCCCACACCTCCAGAGGAAGATTTGAATGATGGGGGGAAAAGGGGAAGTAGAGTTGGGGGGTGTGTATGTGAGAGATTGGTGTACGATATACTTTTTTGGGTTTCTTTTTTTAAAATTTTTCATAAAAATGTAAATTATACTAAATTTAAGTGCAATAAAAATATATTAAACGAAAAAAATCTCTCCTGTGTGTGCGCAGGGCTAAGCAACGAGAGCTGGTCCATCATGAAGAACATGGCCACCGAGCTGGGGATCATCCTGATTGGTTACTTCACTCTGGTTCCCGCCATTCAGGTAAGAGAAATCACACGGTTCAGGGCCAAGATATTACTGACTACACCAGCCAATCATATTCCACGGACAGAGGATGGAGGTCAGATAGAAGACTGAAGGGGAAGGACGGAGGTCAGATAGAAGACTGAAGGGGAGGTCGGAGGTCAGATAAGAGACTGAAGGGGAGGGCGGAGGTCAGATAGAAGACTGAAGGGAAGGACGGAGGTCAGATACAAGACTGAAGGGGAGGACGGAGGTCAGATACAAGACTGAAGGGGAGGACGGAGGTCAGATAGAAGACTGAAGGGGAGGTCGGAGGTCAGATAGAAGACTGAAGGGAAGGACGGAGGTCAGATAGAAGACTGAAGGGGAGGACGGAGGTCAGATAGAAGACTGAAGGGGAGGACGGAGGTCAGAGAGAAGACTGAAGGGGAGGTCGGAGGTCCGATAGAAGACTGAAGGGAAGGACGGAGGTCAGATAGAAGACTGAAGGGGAGGTCGGAGGTCAGATAGAAGACTGAAGGGGAGGACGGAGGTCAGATAGAAGACTGAAGGGGAGGACGGAGGTCAGATAGAAGACCGGGGGGGAGGTTGTGGTGCAGTGTGCGGGTTGTTATGTGACCTCTGCTGCCACTTATGAAGTACAGATAACAGACTCTCTCCTCGCTCTGTGATGGGAATTCCGGGACATTCTTCCACTTCCTCTGTGACACGCTAACAGATTAGACGGTGAAGGTCGGTGCCGCGCACTCATTGACATCGCTCCTCTCTTCATATATTGCCGACCTGCAAAGCAAAGCCGGAACTCCCAAATGTGACGAGAACTGACAAAGATGCAGCTTCTTATTTATATATGTAACTGATATAGCGCCAACATATACCGCAGTGCTGTACAGAGGAGCTTACACTCTAATGTCCCCTCCCCCCCCCCACAGTCACATCAGTCTCTGTACAGAGGAGCTTACACTCTAATGTCGTCCCCCCCAGTAATGGGGACAGAGGCGACATGACACGATGGCTCCTGTGCGCTCTCTGCCGGTGATGTCTGGGATCCCGTACAGGGCCCGGGTGCTTTGTTGGCCCTCAGAGGAGCCACATTGGAGATAATAGGCTCCATGATGGAGATTTCTCAGATTATTATGGGATTGAACTCATTTTGGGATCCCGCCCCCCTGATACACATTGGCCACGAGCCTACGAACGAGGTGTTGGAGGGAGCTTGCAGTGGGCGGAGACAAGATGGGAATGTGGATGGGTAGTGTGGTGAATCTAGCTAATATTCCAGATACAAGGAGGAACTCCGCTGTGTTTTGGGGCCCAAACCCGCCCCCTTCATTAGGTCAAAGATAGGAAACAACGTGCAAGGACAGCGCCGGTCCAGCTGCTTGATGGGTCCTGTGCCTCGTATTATAATGTACCCCCCGTTATGTCCATATATTGTTCATTGCCCTGATGAAGGAGGCGAGCCCCTGAAACGCGTCGGCTTCCTCATTAACTCTTCTACCGGCGCCTACATTGGAATAACATTGTATCTGGACTCCAATCTTACAGGATGTGAATGTTGTTACATTGTATTTACTTCCCGTGTCTCCCCCTCACTCCGCCCTCTCTCTGTGTGTTTTCTCTCTATCAGGAGTTCTGTCTATTCGCTGTCGTCGGACTCGTCTCGGACTTCTTCCTACAGATGTTCTTTTTCACCACAAACCTATCACGGTACCACGCTTGTAGTCACCGAGCTCCTGAGAGCGACCCGTTCTCTCACCAATGTCTGTAGAAGCGTCTGCATGCCGAGGTGCCTCATCCTATACACCGGGGGCCATGGAGGGGATTGTAACACGTGGAGGGGGAGGGGCCAATACTTCTGGCATTATAGTGTATGTCCCCGGGATGTGTCTGATGTCTTCTCTCTGTCATGAATCTCTTTCAGCTCGCTGACTTGAACAAGAGGATGCCTGCGGAGGCCTGTATGCCGCCAGCCAAGCCGGTGACCCGCGGCCAGCGATATGAGCGCCAGCAAGCTCTGAGGCCCAACACCCCCCACACCATCACCCTGCAGCCGTTCCGAAACCTGCGGCTGCCCAAGAGGCTCCGCCTCATCTATTTCTTCGCCAGGACGCGCCTGGCACAGCGGATCATCATGGTAATGCCGCCCGCCCGTGAATTGTGGAGATCTCGCCGAGTCTTCGCATCGGTATTGTGATAGAAATGAATATTCGCTTCCTGCGCATTAAAATCCGCCGCGCTATCTAGTCCTAGCTGACGCATTCAGATCCCTTTCTTTATAGGGGGTCACAGCAGGAAGGAAGTGGCGGCTCCAACAGCCAATCAGTTCCTCAATACGTCAACGTAACGCAGAGTCAGCCAATGAGACGCATGTATACACTTCAATAGACAATAGAAAAGGGGAGTGTATGCTCGTGCATGTGAAACACACCGTGCACAGCAATTGTACTCCGGTTCCTGTGAATGCGCGCTTGTCTGCAGGGACGACGCCATATTGTTTCCAGCGCGTTGATATGACGCACCAAAAAGACACGCGCGTGTTCCTCTCATATACCACGTCCTCAAAGCAAATGCATCCACGCCGAGCGAATAAATCCGCGCATTACGCAGGGGCCCTCGCCGGCGTCCATACACTCGCTAAGAGGACACCGCTCCGCAATGCACATTAATCTCCCCCCAGCGCATAGCACATGGACCATCCGCCGCCGGAGACCCCTCAGCACAGCGGCCGCGTCTCCACATCCACAGGAAGATATCCGCTCCAATGGTTTACACACAGTGCTGAATAATCCCGACCACACTCCAATAGAGCCCAGCAATCCCGACACTGAGACATAATGACAATATTCACCTATACAATATGCTAAAAACACATCCTAATAACGTTTCCACAACTTGCATGATGCGATGGTTTTGAGCAATGTAGCAATTTCTTGTGACATGCATAATGCTGCATTTCCCTATGACGGGCAGTGAAAGTGGGAGTGTCAGGAAAAGTCTAAGTGGCCCTTCCAGGAGCCACAACGTCGGGACTTCACCTCAGCCAAGCTTTCTAATATGCAGATTAACTCTTAGTCATCTGAGGTAGAGTTCACTGAATCTGCAGAGAATACTTCTGACCCTTCACCCGCTACCTCTGCTGTTCATTTGGGAATCCAGAAGCCTAATTGCTTCTCATAAGTCTTTCACTAAGTCTGAATTCTGTTGGCCTTTATGGAATCAGTGTAGATGTACAGTACTGTGCAAATGTAACCAGTCACTTCTCTCCTCTTCACTCCCTCCCCCCCAGCACTAGTCACTGTCTCTCTCCTCCCCTCTCCCAGCACCAGTCAGTGTCTCTCTCCTCCACCCCCCCCAGCCTCGGTCAGTCAGTACTACTAAGCCCCCTCCTTACCTTTACCTCCAGCGGCTGCGCTCCACTGCTGCTGGGTTAAAGAAAGTTCAGTCAATGTAAAAAACAAACCTTCAGGCGCACACGTGCTCAGGAAGGTGCCAAGTGCACAGGGGG